GCCGGCACCAACGCAGGAGCCCTGCGGGCCGAGCGCTCTGAAGAGGCCACGAGCCGGAGTCTCGCGGGAGCAGCCGGGCACTGGCTTGCACAAGAGGGAAGAGCTCCCGGAGCCCCAAACCCTGTCAGTGCTCACACACGTGCACACACATGAACATGCTCCTCCTCTCCTCTCTCCTCTCCTCTCCTCTCCTCTCCTCTCCTCTCCTCTCCTCTCCTCTCCTCCTTCTTTCTCTCTTGCTCTTTCTTCCAACATTCTTTCTTTTTTATCTTTTTCCTTCTTTTATTTTTCTCCTCTCTTCTTTTCTCCCTTCTTTCCATTTTTTTATCTCTTCCCTTTTTCCTTATTTTTTTTTCTCTGCTCTCTCTCTCTCTCCATCCCTCCAAGGAAAACTGTGGGCAGCACTGAGAACATTTCCACTGAGAAGGCAGAAATTTCTCCCAGTAACTTTCCAGCTAAAGGACTCGGAAATGTGAAATGGCAGGATGTTGTGCTGGGCTTTTTCTTTCTAAAGAAAACTGCCCTCAAACCGCAGCTTCTGCACACACCAAGGAGCTCCCAGCAGCTCCAAATTGGAGCCATCCCCCTGTGCCCAGGGGCCGTTCCCTGCAGTGCGACCCTGGCCAGCCGAGCTCCAATGGGATGCGCCGAGGGACCCGGTGGCCCTGTCCTGGCCCCCGGCCACACAGATGCAGAGAGCAGCCGCTCGCCCGGCCCCGAAGGCCATAGTTTAACACCGAGTGCTATGGGTTAACAGCAAATGCTGTAGGTTAAGACCGAACGCTATAGGTCGACATGAAGCCAGGGCCGGGCTGCGACTGCGGGTGCTGTCCCCGGTGCCGGTAGCAGGGACCGTCCTCGCTGGGTACCTGGGACGCTCTGCACGGGGCAGCCTCTTGTCCTCCAAAGCCCCACGGTCGTGGCGACGCCGCGGACACCCTGAGGGCCAGCGCGGGCTGCTGGCACCATCTAGTGGGATCTGCCACCCGCTCGGCGCCACCTCCGTCACCGCGCGGCACCTCAGCCCTGCTGCGCCCCGAGCCGCAGCGGGGGCCAGCGTCGGCATAACCCCCTGTCCCGACCACCGGGACACAGGGAAGGGCTCTGTCAGCAACGAGAAAAAGAAGGAGCAGTTCATTTATTGGCTGATTTATTAGTTACTTTTGTTCTTAGCCCGGGGGCAGGAAGGCTCCGTGCTGCCCCTGGGCAGTGGCACCAGGACAGGGTGGGAGTTCCCAGCAGAGGGGACTTTTTTGCAAGAAAGGGTCATCAATCGCCTGCATTTTGGGATGCGGCTGCACACGTGGAGCAAAGGGACCAACCTCAACCTAGCGCAACTGCAGCTGCAGCACCGGGAAGGAGCCCTGAGCTTTCGGGGCTGCGGGTGCCACTTGCCACGCGAGCGACCAGGGCACCGTGGGGGTTTATTCCCTTCCCAAACAGAGCCTGTATTTAGCGACTGCTCAGCAGCAGAGCCTGGACTGCTCTAGGCACAAGAAAATGTCCCCAACCCTTTACCCCAGGCAAAGTTTCTCAGCTCATGGGCAAGCACTGTCCAAGCCACCTCGCACACGGTCTTCCCAAGGGCTGTTGTGTTCTGCAGTGTCCAGAGCAATCTGGGCCCATATAGTTACGCACTGGCATAAAAACCTTGGCCACGTTAAAAGTTTAAGTAGGTCAAGCACCTACCTGGGCCCGCCGAGAGCCTGCAGTGGCTGCAGCTAAAGGTTCCTGATTTTAGAAACTTCGCAGCTAACTCGGACAAAAGCAGAGCCTGACTGTAAATGGCTCCAGCCCCTGCTCCAGCTGCCGTGCTTATAAAATCCACAGGCTGATGGTTATTGCCTCCCGCTTAAAAATAGCTAAAGCTCCATGGACCAAAAATAACCAAAAATCTCAATCCTGCAAATGCGCCTGGCTCAGCCCTGCGCGCAGGGCAGCGTCGGGAGCAGGGAGCTGCCAGGCTGTTTCACTGCTCTGGAAGCCGAGCGAGCGCCAGGACGGGGCACTCGCGCCCTGCCACGACGGGGCACGTCCTGCACAGGGACAGGGCTCGTCTGCCCCTCTCTGTGGCAGGAGCACTGGGGGAAAAGAAATAAGCAGGTGGAAGCAAGGAAACAGCTCTGAGGATGTCCGTGCCAAAACCAGAACCGCTTTCTTTTTAGGGCCACCACTGTATTTTTCAGCACAACCTTTAGCTGTGTATACCCCAGAGGAACAAAAACCAGCACCTGTGTGTGGAGGCAGCGTGAGGAAGATGGGATTTTGTTACCCACTCCCAGGGGAGGTTGTTCTTGTTGAAAGCTGCATTTCCTCACCCCTCCTACACGCTCCTGTTCCCCAAAACGACGGCCGTTTTGCCCAAACGGCTGTGCCAAACAGCCTCCCATTTGTGCAGCTCCCACAGCTCCGCTTTCCCCACGGCCATGGACCTGGAAGCTCCCAGCTTTGCATCCCCGTGAATGAAATAAACGAGTTCAACCTTTTTCCTTTTTTTCGAAACAGTTCACATTTATTATTGATAACAATAAAAAAAATCTTTTAAAGACTATTTGTATTTTATTACCAAGAATGAGGTATTATGTATACAAAACATTTACAGAATTTGATATGCAATTCATGAATACAGACGGGGAAGGACACTGATAACGGGGGGAAAGAGCCAACAGAATGGTCATCAGCAGAGAGAATTAAGGATAGCAATAATATCATACAGGAAAAAAAATAGGCTATGGGAAATTAGTCAGACTGCAATGACGAAGTCATATTGCACAGCACTTAGAGGAGAATTAACTCTTGTTTTTCAGGAATTTTATCTCCTCAGCTGTTTGTGCTGTCATGTGCTTTGAGCTCTGAGAGATGTGTTGGCTTTGCAGGAGGAAAAACCCAAAGTGCCACTTTTGAGCCAGCTCAAGTAAGCAACAAAACTGATCTGCAGACTTGGAAAAGTGGCTGCAACTCAAAAGGGCTACAAAGGCAGACACCTCTGGACAGATGTGTGGCGCCAAATGAAGCAGCTTCCTTAAGAGTTGTCGGCAAAATTGCCATTCGAGAGGGAGAAAGGGACGAGCAAACGAACGAAAGGGGGGAGCGTCCTCAAGGCAGACCCCGGAGGGAATGGACGTGGTGTCTGGAAGCGACGCTAGGGCCAATCCCGCCGTCTCTCCTGCCCTCCCGCGCCAGGAGCCTCCTCTCCCGCACGCTGCTGCCCGGCGGGACCCGCAGCAGGGCCTGGGGGAGCTGCCTGGCACCCGAGCCCTGGTCTGGCTCCCCCCAGAGCGGGTTTGCGCAGCCAAGACACCAGTGCAACCTCCATCTCCACGTTTTCAAGGCTAAGAGAGACACAAGTGACCAGCCTGGGAAGTTGGAGGAGTCTTGCTTCTCACGCTGTTACTAAATCTGGTGCTAAAATGAAGCTTTCTCAGCTTTATCTGCCCTGTTTCACAGCCAGATCTGGTCTACAGGAGAGGTGGTTTCAGTTAAGAGGTCAGTAACCTGCCTCTCAGAAGCTTTGCAGTTCATCTTTACGCTGCGTTCAGAACCAGCTTTCCTCAGGCAGAGCTCCCAGTGCCTTGAGCTCTGCTCTGAAAGCACAAGACCTCAGCAAGCTCCACTGCAAGACTACTGCAAGGCTCCAAAGACCAGACCCAGCCTTGCAGCAAGGTCTGCAGCAGCAACAGCAGCTCCTTTTGCCTAGAGGAAGAGTTTTCCTCTTCAGAGGGGTAAGGACAGACCAGTGGGATCTAACTTAGGCAACTCCTGCTGTGCTCGGCCCAGGAATCTTCACAGCTCCACTGCAAGACGACTGTCCGTGGTTGCATGCTGCTCAACACCTTTGCTCAACACTTAGGTCTTTCACGCCTTGGAGATTTAGGAACTCGTTGCTGCGCCTGGGAGAGGCGGCCCAGAGTGGAAGATACCTGAACTAGCTTTACAAAAAGAGTTCAAGTAGGAGTGCTCGGGCCTGGGTAGGGTAGGGACAGAAATCCACAATGGCAATTCACTACTGGCAGTAGCAACAGTGAAAATGGTAGAGTAGGCACTGCTGAGATTTCTTTTACTGTATCACTTGTGAAGATCCCCATGCTCCCTGTCCACGTAAAGCTCTGCTTTTTTTCTGGATAGGAGAGGAGGTGACAGGGACCGAGAAGTGCGCAGGAAGGATGTAAGCCATACCACTTCCTTTGGGCTGATCTAAACAGCACGTTCAGACTCTGCTGATATTCCTGCTACGAGCAGAGCCTCGCTAAAATGAATCCACATGGAGTGTGCTAGGAAAGTGGAGTGAAGCTCCAGCACAAAACAGGGAACAAATCCCCAGACCAAGTCTGGACCAGTCCACTGTGACACAGCGAGGGAGAGCCTGCTCTCTGCCTCTCTCTCCACAGTTTTTCAAGTGCAAATCCAAGGAAAGAATGTGAATTGCTTTAACCCATCAATACCCAGAGCTGAAATTCCCCAGCAATGTGCATACAAAAGGTATTAGTGTTAACAGCCTGTCCACAGCTTGGTGGGGAGGCCTTGAAAAAAATGGACTCAAAAATCAAGTATCCAGCAACTGCTTTTCTTTGTCTCGGACATCACTTAGTGGCAATGAGGAGAGGACAGTTTGCAGCACTGGAAGATCACGGGGGATTTCATAAGGTGGCAAGGAATGTCCTGACAGGAGACTTGCAGTTGATTTCTAATGCACTACGGAGCATTTTTGGTAGGGTTTCTCTTTTTTGCTTTTTAACATTTACACAATTTAAAAAATTATTCTTAACTGATGCACTGATCATTTTTCCTTCCACGAGAGCCCTTGTGTTCAAAGTTAGGATTTGTGCAAGCACACTTGCAAAAATATCTATGGCTACGTTAGGATAAAGGGTTAAAGTTAGGAGACAAGCTGTTGGATCTAACAAGGACCAAAACCACTAAATTTAAAATTCAAACAGCTACGTTTACTAACTATAAAAAGCTTTTGTTTTTATGTGTTTGTGGGTTTTTTCCTTTTTCCATTTTTTTTTCTTTTTCCTTTTTTTTTCTTTTTTTTTTTTTTTCCAATTGCCACTGGAATATGCTGTATTGCAGTCAGCTGCCAGAGGTGAGGGTCCAGCCATCTCATCCATTTGCTTTTCAACTGTTGTGGCACTACCTGGAAATCATGGAGCTGGAATGGGACTGGCTGGAAGAGGTTGTGGCAGCACTGAGCTGGGAGAATCCACTGTGGCTCGATTCAAGGCTGGTCATAGATCCTCTGCAATAAAAGCAAAAGTTTTAAGCTTCAGAACATAGAAAGATTTGGATTTCTGCTACATATCTATAACCTGTTTGCACATAAAGCAGGTAATGATGGCTTTGGGGCAGATGCTCAAAAGCTTTCTTGTGTCATCATGTAAGATAACGTGGACACCAGAATGCCTCCTTACAAAAACCAGATGCTTTCTGAGAGCCTGGGATGTAGCTTCAGCCAAGTTTAGCACTGGCAGGCAACTCTACTGACTCAATTCCTTATTTCGTGTTGCATCAGTATCTGCATGACAGCCTGCCAAACCCAACGACTTGCACAAAGTATTCAGTAACGATTAGAATGAAACAATCCATTTTTGACACTAATCGTCTTCAATGCTAATACCAGTTGTATTTTTTTGAGGTTATCCAGCTTGCGTTTATAAATCTAGCAATACTCCATCAGAAAATGAGACCTCACGAATTACGTGTAGTTCTTTTAAGTGGCTTTGGCACTGGTTTGCTTCTATAAGGACAGCAAGAATCACATCAGAAGGGTTTGACACTGGCTGACCTCCATCGACCTTGGCCAGACGTACCTGAAATCTTCTGATCCTATCACTTCTGTGTAGTACATCACTTTGCATTTATGAGAGGAGACCTGTAGAGATGCTAGTACATCATCCACACGAGGCAGGTTGGTTGTAGCACAGGCAGGCATGTTGTGAAACTTCCACTGGAGGATATAGAAGCCAGGCCATCTGGTCACATGTGATCCCTGGAAACAGCCACAGCAAAAACCGAAAATTAGCTTACCACAGCCAAAGTTTGTCAGCTTTGTAATACTTTTTGCAAGTGCAGGAAATAAACTGCCTGTATGTCTTTTTTTTTTTTTTTTGCCAATGTCAATATTCCAGCTCTTCAGCCAACTGGCTGGTCACCTGGACTCTCCTCAGGCAACATCCTTATAAAAATTATGCCAGAAAACCAGAGCTTCCTTCTGCTTTACATATTGTCAAGAGGTGAGAATTTAAGTACACTAAAACAACAAAGCCAGTGCTTAAAACAATATCCACTTTTTCCCTTTATTTTCATTAACAGGAACATGAATAAAGCAGTGAAGGTTCCCACCTCACAGACAGAGAAGGCAGAGTTCAACAGGCCACTGCCCATGTTTCCAAAGTTTAATATCTCCAGTTAAGTAACTCAAGGAGCTCTTTCTCAAAGGTTTTCAGGTGAAAAGGAACAGCAGCTGCAATGTGTGATAACAAATGTGCTGCACATAAATGTCAAATTCGCTCAGTAATGGAGAGGTTGCAACCGCCATAAAAACTTTAGGGACTCTGGCCATAGGACCTGCCTAGTTTGCTCAGTAGGGAGATAAACACACGGAAGTTAATCTTAATTCCCACACTTCTCATTACTCATGTAAAGCATTATGGTGTTCTTCAAACACAGCCTGGTTTCTTAAGAAAGTACAGTCAGAATTGCAGCATGAAGCATGTGTCTTCCTACTTTCTGGATGTGCACTCCATTCTAGGGGGCTTCTACATTCTTGTTGATCAGTCTCAGTCACTCTTGGACTAAAACACTCTTCCCTTCACAGCAGATCCCATGCAATATTACCCCCCCTTCTTTGCAGCCTTCTGCCTGCAACAGAAGCTGGAATGTCGGCCGAAGGGAAGCAGAGCGCCCAGAGCTGAATCATCATCACAAGTCATCAATAACATTGATGAATTAGAACATCTAGTTTTGAAACAAACCTCCATCTGCTCCTGCACGGGGATTAAGTGATCTCACCTGCACACTCTCCCCTTCTTTGCAGATAAGGGCAGATTCCACCATACTGTAGTCACGTCCCAGCTGCCAGAGTTTGTCTATTAGCTGGACGTTGTTCCCACCGGGAGACGTGATACTGTGAGCTCCCAGAGAGTCCTTTTTAGGAGGCTGTGGGGCTCTCTTGGAATGGAAGATGTTAAAAACGATGTCACCTTTACACACATCAAAATCCCATGTGATCACGGACGAGGCATCCACAATCTGAATGAGAACCTGGGACGAGGGAAAAGTCAGATCAGAAAACAGCAATTTGCTTAGTAAAGGCAGAAGCTCTGAGGAGAAAAAGAGAACAGAAGAAAAGAGCTTTGTGGCTGAACTTAGACTAATAAAAGGCATCCTAGATGCAGCTTCTCTATGGAGTGTCCTTATTTAACACATGACCTTCCAAAGCTCCCAGCTAATTTCTCAGAATATCATTTGTCTCTGTCAGCCATTCTATTCAAAGCAGTGTCATTCTAAACACTGACATTCTCTAAATGGCAACAAGATGATACCAGAAATGGTCACAACTTCAGCTGCTAAACCATTATTATGTACCAGTAACTCTCTTAAGGGAGAACTCTTAAGAAAATCTCTTAAGAAACTTTAAGATTAAGATGAGATTACAAAAATGAGGCAGTAAGTATTATTCAGACAACTAGCCCTCTGTTCAGGTTTTGTGTTAACAGCTGAACAAATTCCCCATCATCCCCACACACATTTACCTAACAGGCCCTGATCCAAGACCTATGGAGCTTAACTTCTGCTGCAGCACAGGGAGACCCCGGTTTGTCAGACCAGCATCTACCAAGTGGTGCACGGCCCTGAACTTGCATTTGGATTATGAATGTCTCATTTTGGACCACAGAGTTCCAAAACTGTGATCGTGATTTAATGTACCTACCAATCCATGCTTAAAAACACCTCTGCAGGAGCAGCTCCAGGTAATTCTTAAGCTACAAGAGGCCTGAGGAAGCATTTTGAGTCACACCATGAGAAAGAGCAGCCCTGTCTACCCCTGAAGTTAGACCAA